TACTTTTGCATCTAGTTCGTCTAAATAATATGTATGACAGATTTCTTATGTCAGTCTTACCTTACAAAGTGACCTTAAACTTATGTAATGGTATGACAGATTTCTTACGTCAGTCTTACGTAAGAAAGTGACCTAAAACGTATGTAATAGTATGACGTATTTCTTACGTCAGCCTTACGTAAGAAAGTGACCTTAAACTTAGGTAATATTATGACAGATTTATTACGTCAGTCTTACGTAAGACAGTGACCTAAAAGTTATGTAATATTATGACAGATTTCTTATGTCAGTCTTACGTAAGAAAAGTGACTTTAATATTACGTCACGATATGACTTTAATATTACATAAGATGTACGTAATATGTAAGTCATTTAATTACATCATATAAAAGTCACGTTTTGGGTCAGTATTATGTCACTATGACGTAAAAATTGAATTACCTAGATATGATCTACGTGTTACGTAAATTTTAGGTCATAAGTCACGGTTTGGTTCACTGGGTAACTTCTAAACTATAAAAGATAAAAAAAAATTATTTAAATTTACTTTTGAAAGTACCTTATTTAGAAATAAGTAACAGTATTTTTTCTCAATTTTACCATTTTTCACAATAAGGTTGGGGCGTCGAGTTTGGGACACCCTGTACACTTATACCTAATTATAGCAGACGGTTATAATCACAATAAACGATACATATATTATCATATAATTCTCACAAAATTTTTACAGGCGTATAAACCTTTCTGCTCTTTTTCCCCAATTCTATTTTTAAACTTCTCGGCCACTTAGTAAGAATGTAAAACATAAACAAATCCCATTGGCGTCACGTCACACTGATTTAATTTTTAAGTAAGGTCAACCCTACGAAATTTTTGCTTAAAAAAATATTAATAGCCTGTTTATAAACATTAGTTAAATTCCAAAAAATTATTATACTTCACCTTATTTAACCTAAATTAATTTTCATAAAAGAATGTTAAAAGTCAGCGCGCGCCAGGATTAAAAGAGTAGAATCTACTCCGTACACAAGCTTCCGTTAACATAGAGTTGGCTACACGGAATATCGGTGATGAAACAACCCTTTAATTTTTCCCACTGTATTCATACCAAAAAAATAAAATTAAAAACGTTAAAAAAATAAATTTACAATATTTTGTATTTTTAGTAGGTTTTTTTTACTCAAGTCTCCCTAAATACCCCTCGTGCTTAAAAATTTACCAGATAATTTTCATCCAAGCTTGTTGTACAAAAGACTGCGCTTTCATGAAAATTATCGGCAATTTTTAAACACTCGTATTACCCCCGATAATTTTGGTAGTAATTCTCGTGCGTGTAATACAGGAAATAAAATTTCACCATCATTTTCGAAAGAAATTTCGTAAGAATTCTTGTGTAAAACGTGTAAACGTATAAAACGGCTCGAAAACAAGCGGTTGTTAGTGTAAAGCACTCTAATGAAATAGTCATAACAAATTTACTGAAATAAATACTAAATTTTATAATAAAAGAACAGTACCAGGAGTTTCTGAACAAAACAAAAATACAAGTTTTGGCTTTTGAAACCAGGGACCCGGACCGGAACCGGTATTTATTTGTGGACCGGAACCGTAACCGAACCCATATTATTTTTAAATGTAACTCTAGAGACCGAACCCGAACCCTTTAAATTTAAAACGGTTTTTTAGGTTATTTTCGGTTTTTTTCTTAATTTATTTTTGCAAAAATTTAAAAAATTAAATTTTGTTTCTTTAAAAGAATCCATAAAATTAGTTTGTATCGTAGTGTTTGTAAAATATTTCTTTTTTCAAACGGGGCTTGGATAAAGTTATTGAAATTTTTCACCGTTTAACATATAACCCTGTAGGAAATTTACTTGAAGAACCGTGAGCTTTATATCTATAGCATGAATTAAAATAGTTCAAGAAAGAAAAAAGTTATGTCGTTTTGAAAAAGATCGAACTTTTTGGTCGCGACACATTGAGTGGTGCGCAGTTTAGATGCGAACTATTTTAGGGAGATTGTTTTCTCACGTTTTACATATCACCCTGTACGAAATTTACTTGAATATCCGTGAGCTTTATATCTATAGCATGAATTGCCAGAGGATGGGGCTAGCAGACATCACAGACCAAAATAAGAAACAATAAAGTTATGTTGTTTTAAAAAAGGACGAACTTTTTGGTCGCGACACATTGAGTGGTGCGCAGTTATATGAAAAATTCCAAAAAAAAATTGTCATTTTATAATTTAAGTAGGTACTTAAAAAATTGAAAACGAAAAAAACCGTATGGACTGAAAAAATTGGTCCGAACCGGACAGAAATATATTTTTTTGAAGCGTAACTGAACCCGAACCGAAATTTGTCGTTTCTATCGGAATCGGAACCGGACAGGAACCGTTTCATTTGGGTCCGGGTCCCTTCAAATTAAAACACAATACCCAATATCATTGAGCCAATAAGAAAATGCAACACAAAATACGAATGGGCAACTTTGAGTTGCGGAATCTATTTAAATTTTCCTACTCTATCCATTTAAGCAATAAAGCCTAGAAAAACAATTTAAACAATAATTATCATAATTGATTGTTGTTAATTGTTAGGTAACCCAGATAACAGCTAACGAAATGTCATATGACATTATAATATTTTAAATGTCAGATTTAATATTATATTCTGTAACAAGTTTGGAATACGGCATATTCCGCTCGAGTGAAAAGTTTACGAGAGCGGAATATGCAATTCCAAACGTGTTTCAAACTATACTTTTTCTACGTTTCCAAAAAATACCATAGAAAAATAATTTAATTGGAAGAAAGTCAGGTTGGATCGGTCTAAAATTTGTTAGATACCTATTAAAAACAGAGATGTCGCTACGAGTGTTCATTCTGTCATCCGATGATAGAATATTTCATTCTGTAACACTTTACAGAATATATATATATATATATATATGTCATTCCATAGATAAAAGTGATTTTAGAACGGTCAAATTCCGTAATAGGAGTAGAAAATAGTTATTTGTTTTACAAGTGTTGAAAAGCGACTTTTTCATGCGAGTTTTTAAGTTGCCCACGAGGCCGTTAGGCCGAGTGTGCATTAACACCAGCTTGAAAAAAGCTTTTCTCACAAGTATAACACAATGTTTTTTCTGCGAACCTTTTATTTTTTATTATTTTTAAATACAAAACAAAATAACCTAAAAACTTTTTTGACAGCTGAATGTCAAACGATGCTTTCCGGTTCTTTTCACACAGACCTGTCACTTTTCACACAGAAATGTCACTTTACATTCGTGTTTTGCCTTGCCAATGAAAAGATTCATTTTCTAAGCAACGATGCCATCATGAAAAGTGACTTTTACATAGTGGTCGTAGAAAAAAGTATGTTTTTCTAGGCTTAGGCTTGTGTGACAAACTCTTCACTCGAGCGGAATATGCTGTACTCGTGCTTAGATACGAAATAGTATATTATTATACGAGAGATAATGCAGGCTAATATTCACGAGGATGAGGTTTACGTCTCCAGTCGCTAGACGAGAGACCTAACTCATCCGAGTGATTACTATACTTTATCTTAGTACTCCAATAAGTAGATAATTAAAGGATTTTCAAAATTAAATAAATAAAATCTGACATCTGTACTTTTTACCAATTTTAAATGTTATTATAGACTAATAATTTATAGTCGCCTTCTTCCAATTTAAAACTCGATTGGTTCAAATCACAGTGAATACTGAAATCGGCAAATCGCTGATGCCTAAAAACATGAATACTATTATTCACGTTGTTAGGCAGGAAATTTATAATGCTTAACAATATTCACGGAAACACACCAAAATTATGCAATAGCCTGATTTATAGATTGCCCTTCTTCCTTCTTTCCTCCCGAAAAAGATAAGCAATACGAAAATCGTAGTGCCAAAATAGCACTACGTTTTTCAATGCAATTTTTAGTCAAAAATATTTTCTAAATTTTGTTTAAATTTCCCTTAAATAAAAAATGACACAATGATACAATGCAAAATCTCAATTTGACGTTATTTAATTGTGTCATTATAGTATATTCTAATAAAATCTAGTACATTTTTTTGACAAAATGGTAACGCTGGTGTCATTTATAGATTCCCGTACGGGAATCTATAAACATCACAACGGTTTTTGTATTGTTAGTCTTTTACGGGAGGAAGGAAGGAAGGCAATTTATAAATCAGGCCTAAAGAAATAAACTAGTTTATTTCTTAGTTTTTTAAAAAATATTTTTATTTCGTATCAATATCCATTATATACATATTATGTACATACCTATACTATAGGTCCTATAGGTAATAATATATTATAAAAAATTATTTATTTGTTTTAATCTAACTGTTTATTGCATTGTTTGTTTATTTATACAACTTATGTTATTTATTAATTTTAACCCATATTTTAACTTCGACAATTTTGCCTGAAGATGGTCTAGATAGACCAAAACTAGTTGCAATATAAACATATAAAAAGCATGATTTAATTTATAAATACCTTTTTAAAAATGGACGATCAAAAATTAATGAATTTAATTTTTTAATATTTCATACAAAAACATCTCACTGACATGTCAGTGAGATGTTTTTGTGTGTCATGACATCTGCAGTAAATATCATGCAATTAACTTTTAAATTTTTGAATTTTATTAATATAAAAAATTCTAAAATATTTTTTTAATTCTGTGACATCACAGCCTGCTCATCCCCCCCTACCCCGGCTGTCACAAACTGTCACATTTCCAACGACCCCCCTCCCCCCTAAGTGTGTGACATCATTTATGGACGGCCCCTTAGATACAATTTTAAAACTCAATAGCTTTTTAAAAAATAAAATAACTTAAAACCATAATGTTATTTTTAGTAGATTATTTAAATTTTCCTTAAAATAGCGCCAAATTTGAATTTAAAAGTTTATATATTACAGTACCCTTACAGTATTACACCAAAATTAAAAACGATAAGTTTAAGATAAATTGGGCATCAAATTATCTTGAATGATTACCTTATACTATATTTATTTATATATTTTTAGATATACTCGTATAAACCTTTTTTTAATAAACGGATCTAGATTGCATACAATTAAAAAACCTATGTCAAAATTATTTAAAATCATAAAGACATTATTTTTTTGAGTAATGTCAGGAAATTTAAAAATAAAAGACTCAACAATAATTCAACTTTATTCCAGAGCAGAGGCTCCTTGTAGAGATTATTATGGTTTAACCGTTACTGATGCTAATGTAAGTACCTACCTATTTGTGGTTTAATTTGATAATATTAATCACTATTACCTGTTGTTTTCTTTTCAATATTAATTATTTGTAGATTTTATTTAGTACTTGGAAAATTTCATATGGGCCACATTTGCATCCAAAATGTAGAGTTGTTTCATATGAAGACATAAAATATGATAAATACCTTCAAGAAGAAATACGAACTACTTTTGGATATGGAGCTTTTCTATTCATCAGAAGTTTATATAACAATGAACATAAATTGGAAACTTTGACAAAAAACGTATTTTTTTATTTAATGAAATATCTTAAAATTAAAGATATTTTTAATTTGGCACAAACATCCAAAATATTAAAAGAAGTATGTTGTTTGATTATAATTATAATAAATAAATATTTAATAATATAAATATTCTAATAGTAAGTTTATAATAAAAACATTTTTTGTAGCTTTGTAATACGGATAACGTATGGAAGATTATTTATCAAAAGTATTTAAAACGAAATTGCTATCCAGATGAATTACGGAACGCTATGGATATTGGATGGAAAGAAATGGCCAAACGCAAATCACTTTTAAGAAAAAAGACTGTTAATTCTATAAATACAACCCAAAAACTACAAGATAAATCCAAAATTAAGCTAAAAATTCCAAATAAACCTGCTTCCAAGCAAGGTTCCGCTGTAAAATTGATTGAACACGCAACTCCTCGTAAGCCTATTACAAAGCCTACTATACCAAATATGTCTGCATTCAAGCCAACAATACCAAATGAGTCAACAGGCAAACATGTTTCTGCTGTTAAATTGCTTAACTCAATACCTGATAAGCCTGTAATTAAGAAAATATTGCCAAATAGGCCAATAATCAAGCAAGTTTCTAATGTCAAAAATAAATTATCGGATAGATCACTTAAAATTAAATAATATTTTATTTTTATTGTTTTATTTTTGATTGCAAAGACCAAGATAACTTGTAATACCCACATAGTTAAGGTAAATAAGATGACAAAAAAAAACAGAACATTGTATTCTAGTATAAAATTTTTCAATAAAATTGGTCGTTTTGAGGGTTAAAATTTACTTTCAAAAACTGATATAGTAGGCCATGTATTATCTAAAAATATTTTATTTATATTTATATTTTGCTCCAAAAATACAGTTTATCAACAACTTAAAACACTTTAAAACAAATCTGGTTAAAATAGCACAATAAATAAAGATTTTACAGGGGTGAGTCGCAAACAAATTGGTCACACTGTATATATATATATATGTATATATATATATATATATATATATATATATATATATAATAATAATATTTATTGAACCAGTTTACAATAATAAAAACAGGAAGAATTGTAAAGGTAATTAAAAAAAAATGTTAAAAATACTATATAGGTACTATTTAAAAAGTATTAATCTAAAAATAAAATTTACCTATAACATAAATCTAAGGACGATAAACATGTATTATGCCGGTTTTCCACCAAACGGACAAAACAAAAACAAAACACAAACTCGTGTCGAATAAAACAAAACTGCAACTTTTTGCAAACTTTTTGAAGACTTTTTGCAAACTTTTGCAAACTTTTTGAAGACTGGCGTGTTTTGCGACAGCTGTCGAGTGAGTTTTGTTTTTCGAGTCCCGCTCGAAAGCGGTAACATCAAAAGGTTTCGACGTGTTTTGAAACTCGAGTCTGTTTAGTGGAAACGGTCGTGTTGTGTTTTTTGTTTTCGACTTTTATTTTATTTTGTTAGTCTGGATACGAATTTCATACTAAATTGGTAGGTAAGTAGTAGTAGAAACATATTTTTTCCAAGTGTATAATAATATTCATATTATATTCCTCATAAGTCTATATAGAAATACTACAATTTAGTTACGAATAGATACGAATTTCATACTAAATTGGTATGTAAGTAAGAAACATATTTTTTCCAAGTGTATAATAATATTCATATTATATTCCTCATAAGTCTATATAGAAATACTACAATGTAGTTTTTTAAAATGTTGTAACCTCATTTTTAGGTTAGGTTTAACTGTCAGACGACAAAATGTCACCATTATTGTTCGGCGGTCAATAATAATTTGACTTTTGAACTAGTACAATAATGTAGTGACTACTAGTTCAAAAGTCAAATTATTATTGACCGCCGAACAATAATGGTGACATTTTGTCGTCTGACAGTTAAACCTAACCTAAAAATGAGGTTACAAAATTTCAAAAAAATATCGAAATTTAGAGTTTGAAAAAAAATAGTATATACTATACACGGCGAAAGCTTATAATATATTAATTACCTCGCACACAATCTACTGCCTCGGCGGCGCGCCGCGGCGCCTCGGCAGTGAAATGTGTGCTCTACTATAATATGAGCTTTCTCCGCCTAGTCTATAATATACTATTTTATAGATAGAGGATAGAGAATTTGTTTTGTAACGCTGGATCAGTTTAATAGATACACATATAGGTATATATATATATTAGACTGGGCCAAAAAAATTGACTATTTTTTTTTTGAAAAATATATCGAGAATGTCATTCAAAAAATTTGGCGAAAATTTGAGCCCTTAATATTAATTTTAATCGCTATTTTTGATTTTTAGTCATAATTTGATGTTTTACGTCAAAACATTGAAGTGAAAAAAATTCCTTTTCACTTCCCAAATAGCACACGACCTCCCAAAGACATCCTGATTGGGTCTGTCCGGGCCAGTTTAGGATATCCCATTTCTGACGTACCTTGGACGTCCATGGGACGTCCTGAAATTAAATTGGGTATATTATATTGGGTCCCTAGGACGTCATAGAATTAAATTGGCAATAGTATAACACATATATATATACATATATATATATACATATATATATACATATATATATACATATATATATACATATATATATACATATATATATACATATATATATTTATATATATATATATATTTATATTGGATATCTTCATGCCGTCTTTCCAAAAGGCAAAAAATGTATAGCATTTGCATCATCTGTCACCTGTCTAATGATGCAAAGTGACAGATATCTGTCACCTTTAATTTTAATGTTTATTAAATTTTAATCATGGCATTGTTTTCTCAATATGCGCATTAAATGCTTTTTATTTTTTTCATCGAAAACCGTACGGTTAGTCGTACGAAAAATGGTCAAGAAATCAAATTTGCCCTAAAATTAATGGGGATTTAAAAAATAATTTTTATTTTGAAAAATAGCAGTGGCGTGCATAATATTTTTCCAAAAATATCTAGACCACATTCTGTACGAGCGCCACTGGTAAAAAAAATTAAAAATCTTCTACATCAAAAACTTACTATTAATGCTTAGAAGGCGTGTGCCAAATTTTATAAAAATATCTAGGAAGTTACAAAAGTTTTAGGTCATAGGTTTATTTGAACTTTTTTTCTTAAAATCAACTAAGGATTCACACCCTTAAGGTTCAGCATCTTATTCTGAAACACCCTGTATACAGTGTGTCCAATTAAGTCGGAACCATATGGAAAACTTTTTTATTATAAGTATTGGTTTTATGAAAAAAAGTTATTCTTGATAAAAAGTTCTGCATCGTCCAAAACTTTAAATGCAACCATCAGATATCAATTTTTTTAAGCCGTATACAAGGTTAGTCGAAAAATATGAATTTTGCTCATGAGTTTAAAGTCTGTAGTTCGGAAAATGGGCGTTTCCAGACACATGTTCCTTATATAAAAATATTTGTGAATGGCCAACCCTTAAAATTTGACCCAACCGTTTCCGAACACCCTGTATAGTTATCATTACAACATGCGGATTTCCAAAGAAAAGTCTCAAAAAGCCCTCACAGTACCTTAATAAGCTGGTCTGAGTATATCCCGATATAGTCCTAATCAGGACGTCCTACGGACATCTGAAAGTGTATCATTTGGCCGTCTGTAGACCTCCTAGGGACGTCAAACGGACATTGCGGGACGTCCTGAGTACTTCCGCAATGTCCCAAGCTGACGTCCCGAGGACAGCCTAAGGACGTATTTGTGCTTACTGGGTTATTTTTATATAAAATTAAATTTTCTACAAAAGAGATCTGATTGAAAATTTTCGTCAGACGAGCCGTTTCCGAGTAATTGAGCTTAATAAATCGATGTGTTTTTTCGATTTGCCCTTTTTACTTTGAAATTTTGTAACTAATGAATCAATGAATATTTAAAAAAGCTCACGTCGAAAATTTAATGTTCTACAAAAAAGGTCTCTTAACATTTTTGCCTAAATTTAATTCTTTAAAAGTTATTCACAACTAAGAATAAGAAAATCTTTTTCTCTAAACATGTTGGTTGATACTGAAAAAGTGTGTTCTGACATAATCACGACAACTAGTGGAAAAGGACCGAAAACAAAAACAAAACTCGAACAAAACTTATTTTGCTTGATGGAAACAAGAGTTTCGGGTTTGTTTCAGTTTTGTTTTTGATTTGCAAGTTTTTAAAAACACAAACAAAACCCAAACTCAACTGTTCGTTTAGTGGAAAACCGGCATTACTTTTATTTAGCTAAGTAGACTATATATATATATATATATATATATATACATTAGGGTGGCCCAAAAAAAAAGAATATTTTTTTTCTCGTCTCTAGTAAAAATATGTTAGTTTATCATGCTGTAAGAGCCCTGTCAAAATATCAGCTCAATTAAAAATTTTTTAGGGGTCGCTCAAGATTTTTTAAAATTTTCAAAATCGTCAAATATTGAATTTTTGTTTTATTTTAACTTTTTTTCTCTTCTTCATATTATTTTTTTGGTTGAAAATAATAAAAATTCTGTAAATTTCAAATTAATATTTTGATTTGTAAAGGTCGCTAAAAGTTCGTTGATATTTATATTCAGATGTCGCTTGAAAACATTCAAAATACTCTACTTTGAAAGTTAAAAAAATCTTGAGCGACCTTTAGAAATCAAAATATCGATTTGAAATTTTCAGAATCATCAGGTATTATTTTTAAATTAAAAAATAATATCAACGAGAAAAAAAAATAAAATAAAAAAATCCAATTTATGACGATTTTGGAAATTTTTAAAAATCTTGAGCGACCCCTAAAATTTTTTTAATGGAGCTGATCTTTTGACAGGGCTCTTGAAACACGACAAACCAACATATTTTCACAAGAGACGAGAAAAAAAATATTCTTATAAATAAACCGTTCAAGATAGAACAGTAAAATTTTGGGAATTAATCTTCCCGCACCCAATATTTTTTGCGCTTAATGTGAATTAATGGCACCTTATATATTTTTTACGTATATATGCGTTCTGGCACTATACAGATATATAATATCTTTGTTGGAAAGTTAGTATTTTATAAAAGTAAAACTAGAATATTGCTCGCTTTAAGAAGTCCTTTGTCAAAATAATAAGTCAGATGTTTCGAATAAAATATTTATTGTCATCACATTTATTTTACTCTTCGTTTTAAATATTCTAAATTAAGAACTAACCTTGAAGAATACACAAACAGTCGTAACAATAATTTAAATACAACTTTACAATAAATTTCGTTTTCTCAAAAATTTACAAGAAACGATCCGATCGATAACACTTTCAAAAACTTTCTGCCTGTTTGTTTGCTTCCCTTTACTTGATTCGTGTACCTGGACCATCCTGCACCATCTTGAATCATCTGGACGCCAGATTTTTAGGCAAAGTTCGAAAAACTTGTAATTTCTTTACCTAAGTGTCCCTTTTTACCTCTTTTGCAAAAACTTTTTGCCTTTAACACGATAATTTAGAAATTCCAAATTTATTCAAAAATAAATTTGTAAAATTTATAAAACTACGTTATTTTCCTTGAAAATACATTTGTAAACCGTGTCAAAGTACGGAACCATTACAATATTTACATAAAGTTCGTTTTTGGGTGTACAAAAGAA